AGGCTGGGGACCTGGGGCCTCCACCCATCCAACAAACACCATGAATTTAGGGAAATAACAATACGAGAGGGGTGGTGCCCATTACAAGACCCCAGGATCTCCTGGTCCTTGGCCCAAATTGGTCTCCAACTGGCAGTTGGGTTCTGCATCATTGATGATTTGAAAGAGAAGAGCTCTGGACAATAGGACTGCTCTCAGTTTCTGGTGTAGAAATTCTCGTGTGTGTCTGTGTATCTGTGTGTGTGTGTGTGTGTCCGTGTCTCACGCTCTGTCTCAGTTTCCCTCTCTACATTTCTGTGGATGTTGGAAAAAATAACAGCTTCTCTGTGACAATGGACAAAAACAATAGAAACACTGATTGTGTAACCAGGATCAGAGAGATGGGAAGAAAACGAAGGATTTGCACCTAAACTGACTCACTGGTCTCTATCCTGCCCACTCCTTAGACCCAGTACTGGAGCCTAATATGGAAGCTCCTGGAGTCACTTCCAGATTTGCAAACATTGCAACAATCAGGCATAGATACAGGGTTTCTGCAATGCTCTATCTACATGACAATTTTATCTTTTTAATTTGTTATTGGAATGATGAAACAAAGTCTCTTCACTCAAATAGGAGCGACGCTCCCTGTGATCCACCTATAGATGTCACATTTACCACCGAAGCCCTATTCTTTAAAAAGAATCTGCTGTGCAAGGGGCAGGAGGCAACTTCTCTCCCAGGAGGAGCAGGGCAGTTGGGGTAGGGGTACAAAGATCCAAGTGAGGATAGATCCCACAGTTAGGGCAGCATGCCCCAGCCTAGCAGCCCTCAGGATGGGGCCCTTCCCAGGCTGCCCTCACTGGCCTAGGGAAAGCCACTCTGCTGAAGGGGCAGAGAGACTTCAAGTGAGGGCCCAGTGCCAGGTCAGGACAGTGAAGCTCAACTCAACAACCTGGCGCTGCAGGACTTGGCAGGGCTGCCTGGTACACCCGGGAGATTCTGCGGCCAGGCAGCAGGCAGCAAGAGGCTCTTGGGGGGTCTATGGCCTTCAAGAGTTGATGGGGTACAGTAGGGCTGCGGTGAGGGATTACAGCCCTAGGGAGAGGGTGGGAAGGGGACAAGGACTACAGCCCCCATCCCACACAATCTTCAGACAGCTGGAAAAGGCAGCCGACAGACGGGCCTGCTGGGCAGGTTTCCTTTCTGGCAGACATCGAGTAAGGGCTGCAGACAGTCCCTGGATCAACTGAGGAACCTGAGCAGGGGGATCCGGGGGCTCAGGGTGGATGAGAGGTCAAAGGGAGGACTGGCTTGGCACAGTGCCTTCATGCTGGGAAGGAGGAGTAGTGTGAGGGTCTTGAGATCCCAGACAGGTGAGGTGAGGCCGAGCAGAGGAAGCAGGCACCAACTGCCAAATCAAAATTCTCCCAGTTAACCTGGCAGAGCAGCAAGATGCATCTGAGGAAGGCAGAGGAGAAGGCAGGAGGACAGAGGAGTCCATAGAAACTCCTCGGTGGCCCCGCTCTGCAGACCCCAAGTTTCACCTCTCAGTCACTATTCATGGTCTCTGAACACTGCAGTGCCACCGTGTGGCCTGTGGCCACTAGGCTGGAAGATTCACTACCCCACCCCATCCCCACCTTCCCACCCGCCTGACCAGGCCACTCTCACCCTGAGCCCTTATCCATGTGTGTCTCCACCCTCCAGAATGCCCTCCAGGGAGCAGCTACTGCCCACAGAGCCTCAGTTTCCCTCATCTGCAGATGGTATTTCTCTGAAGCCCTGATACTATTTGCTGCCTTGTCTCCTGCATTATCTCACTGTTTACTGTCCTGAGGTGTTATTGGCCTTTCTGAGGAAACAGTTGGCAGGGCGCCTCAGTCAGATGATGTCCAGGGACTTGTCCATCCTGTCTGTCTTCTAGAGACAGCATAACAGATTCTGGTGGTGCCACCCCACTTCCCGCGGGCCTTCCTCCTCTGGGGTCCCACAAGCTAGGGTCCGCACAACCTCACAGGGCTCATCTGAAGGGCACAGCCCTGGTCTCTGCCTCTGCACAGCCCCCAGCCCAGCCCAGGCAGCCCTGGCTGCACCACGGGCTCCACCTGCCTGTTCTTGTGCCATTGTGAAGGAAGTGCTCAGACCAGAACCAGGAAGCAGTGGAAGGCCAGGTAAGGCTCCCTGGGTGGAGTGGCAGCAGGGTTATCTGGAGTGTGACTCTGCAGGACACGTCCCTGGCATGTCCTCCTCCCTGCCAGCTCCAGAGAAAGAAAAAGGCACTCTCAAGATAGAGCTGGTAGATTCCATAGCTGCCAGATTGATGGGGGAGCAGGAGAGGGAGCCAGGAGCCAAGAAGAGGATTCCTATTGGTCAGAAATGGTGCTACATAGTTGGGTCTTTTTCTTTTTTATCTCCTTTCCTTCCTTTTTTTCTTCCTTCTTTCCTTTCTACTATTTTTCTTTTCTCTTTCTTTCTTTTCTTTTTTAAAATATACTAGGGCTTGAACCCAGTAAGTGCTGAGCTACATCTTCAGCTCTTTTTAAATATTTAAAAAAATGTTGACACAGGGTCTTGCTGAATTGCCCAGGCTGGCTTTGAACTTAGAATCCTTGCTTCAATCTCTCCAGCAGCTAGGATTACAGGTATGCACCAGCACTCCCAGCTACACAGCAGCATCTTTAAGTATCAGCACGAAGCCCACCGACCCACACTGATTGAGGTGTGGCAGGAAGGTTAAAATGGCCCTGTCAGCTCCTGGAAGTCACCATCAGCCTGGGAAGCAAATTTGAAACACCACTGATGAAGCGCCCTGGTCCTGGTGGGGGGCGATCATGCATACTCTGGCGTCCTCTTGTGGATGCCTGTGGTAAGGACACAGAGGTGCCATGGGCTTTGCCCTGTGCCACCTTTTGCCCTTTCTCCCCACACCTGGTTCCTGGTTAGTGACACAGATCCTGGCAAATACAGCAATTGTGTGAATCATGAGGATAGTTGCCTCCCAACACCATGAAGGAGAGGACCAACACACAATTATATCACATTTGTTTGACCCTGGGCAAACAATAGTATTTGCTCATTGAAATTTGACTCATTCAGGGCTAGGGAAATTGCTCAGCAATCTTAGCATCTGCCTGGTAAGCACAAAGACTCGGGTTCCATCCCTGGCACCACATCCATGCCAGCCCCCAAACCCTGGGCACACTGTGCCAGCCACCAAAGCCGGGTCTGGTGGTGCATGCCTATAATCCCAACACTGGGGAGGCTGAGACAGGCAGATCACTGTGAGTCTGAGTTGTGTAATAAAACCTTGTACCAAAAGAAGAAGAAAAGAGAAATTGTGTGTGTGTGTGTGTGAAAGAGAGAGAGAGAGAGAGAGAGAGAGAGAGAGAGAGAGAGAGAGAGAGAACTTGACTCGTTCATATCATACTAGAAGCAAAAATAGCTCCCCAAGTTGTCTGGACAGCTGTCTGCCATCATTACCTCGCAGGACCTATGTCTGGGTTACTCAGACTTTCTAATTCATCCGCCAACCACATGGCATCAACTTTCTTGGGACCAGTGTAGATCGGAAATGTGGAAGGGAATCAGCCATCCGGCACTCACTCCTTCACTAAGGAGTCCTGAAGTACGTTCCTGCTCAAGCCAGGAATAAACAGTGCCGGAGCAGCCTGGAACTCTGCTGAGATCAGGGCCATGACATCGTAAAGAACCCAGCGCCACCCTTAGCTTGGCTTTCTGCAAGCTTGAGACATTGCCTGGGTCTCCCCGTGATCTGCTAATACAGTCAAGGGTGATAGTTCTTGAGCTAATCGACATGTAGAAGCCACAGGGATGGCCACAGAAGGAAAGGGCTCTGGGCCCAGGAAGAAGCACACTGGAGGTCCTGAGCTGGGACTGAAAGTTGCAGGTCCGCATAGCGGGCCAGTTACGGAAAGGTCAGGGACTGCGCCGTCCTAGGTGGCCAACAATTAAGGAGAGGTGAGGTGAGGTAACACTGGAAGAGCTTTCTGAACAACCTTAGTGTATACTGAGGAATACTGAGATGATACATGGAAGGAGAAAAGAAGACCCAGTTCTTAACAGAAGCAAGAAGAATTTTGGTACAAGTTTAGGGAAAGTTCAAGCTGTAAGAGCCATGTCACAGTAGAACAAGTTCCAAAACATTTACAGAAAGGCTTCCACCTTTGTTCTAAGTAAATGATTAACAGCCAAGCTGGTGTGTGTGTGGTCTTGAGTGGGGAGGAAAGGGGACCTCTGGGTACTGGGGATGCAGGTCTCAGAGAAGAGCAGGAGGGAACAGGAAAGAGACGGGGCCCCTACTGAGGCCACTGTGACCCCTCTGCCAGTGCCAATGACCCAGGCAGCTGGGCAGCGGTGCTCTCTCATCTCTGCGGAATCAGGAGCAGACCAGGTAAGGAGCCTCAGGCTGGGGCATACCAAGCCTCGCCCATGGGAAGGAAGCCAGGACCCTGCCTGGCTGGGAGGTGGGGAGACAAAGGCCAAGACCAAGGAAAATGAGTTGGGTGGAAATGAGCCCAGAGACCTGTGTTCCCTTTGTCCGCCCTGAAGTCCAGGATGGCTCTCCCAGGCATGTCTTCAGCTGCCACAGAGGCCACACACACCTTCATCCAAGGTTGCAGGTGTCCCCACCAGAGACAGTATGGGCGAGCGGCGGGCCTGGCCTGGTTTCCCCATGACGCCCCGCCACTCAGTTCCTACAGCTGAGCACCGTTCTCTCACCCCCACCTCTCCATCTTCTACCTCCCAACCTTGCTCTGTGCTGGGAACTGTCCCCTCCTTCTCATCTGCACAGCCCATCCCGGGGCTCCACCCACTCGGCTGCCTGGGAAGACTCAGTGTTGCGGGCCACCACACACATGCTCGCATGCACACTGCTTCTGCCCCTCTGCCACGCTCCAGACCCTTTAACCTCCTCCCCTCCCCAGGAGCATGGTTGACCAGGATGCAAGGAGGATCAACAGAAAGGGAGGCCCGAAAGGCGACTCCATCTTACTTACTTGATGAAGTACACAGCTCCTTCAGGGGTAGTATCCACCTCCCAGCCCGGAGGCAAACCTGTGAGAAGGCAAGAGGAGCGCAGTGTGGGTGAGCCGGGCACATACCGGACCTGCCTGAAGTGTCACAGAGCTCTCAAACCATCCACAGCCCTTGGGGCAACCCAGTGTTTCTAGGGCCTGCATCCCAGATGATAAGGAGGTGGGAGGGCAGGGGTGGGTCCCCTGGCAATGGACAATGTGACCCAAGGAATCACTGCCTCAGGGGACCTGCTGATGCACTCAGCAAACCTCTCCAAGCACCTGCGCCTGGCCAGGCCCCCACACAGCCCAGAGAGCATCACAGTTGTCTTGAAAGTGTCTTCAGAGCCACCAGACCAGACCTCTGGTGTCACAGAAATGAAAGCCAGAAAGAACTAAGAACGGTCCAGAGCTCACAGATTATTAGCATCAAAATCCAAGCAGCATTCAAGCATCTGAGTCCTGGGCCAGTGCTGTGGCTGCCAGACTCTGCTGCTCTCTGACAGGATGCTGAGCACCTGGGCAATTGTCCTGGAGCGTGCAGAGACTTCAGTGTTGTTTTTGCCTTTGTTTTTGCAGTACCAGGGATTGAACTCAGGTTTTGCACTGAGCTACATCATCAGTGCTTTTTTATTTATTTTTTATATTTGAAACAGAGCCTCACTGAGTCACTAAGTTGCCCAAACATAGTTATAACTTGCAATTCCAAACTTATAATCCTCCTGCCTCAGCCTCCCAGAATGCTAGGATTACAGGTTTGTGCCCCCAGACCCGGCTTGGACTGACTTGCTTTTTAATGGGCAGGGGTTTTTTTCTTAAAAAAAATTATCTATGAAAGTGCTCAGGGGGCTGGGGAGATGGCTCAGTAGGATAAGCGCTTGACTGGCAAACGCAAGTCTGAGTTCAATCCCCGGTTCCGCAAAAAAATAAATAAATAAATAAAATAAAAAACGAAAGTGCTCAGAACACACCTATAATATTTAAATAACGGAACTTAACAAAAAAAGGGGATACAGATGAATGTCCATTTTGTATCTGTATATTCAAAATGGTTAGGATAGATATATAGTTACATTTCTCTTAATGAATAGAGGGACTTGTTCTAATAGTGTTTGTAAATAGGATATCATGTCCGCATCTTGTACAGCAATTAACCACTAGGAAAAATGTATGCAATGTGTTAATTATTGAATCTGTCCTACCAATTTGGCTTGAAACTGTCTCATTGCTATTTGTTTCTCAATAAAATTATGGGAAAAAAGAAAAAGAAAGTGCTCAGAGTGGAGAACCACAGGAGCAGAGTGACAAGAGCTAAACTCCCCCCACCACCAAGGAGCTCCCTACCAGGCACTGATTTATGCTGCCCACTGTCCCAAAAAGCCACCCTGGCCAGTTCTTCCTTCCTGGGACAGGGACTCCTCCACCCCATGGCAGAGGGGGAGCCTTTGGAGACCTGAGAGAATCCACTGTCCAAAGTAGAGGCACACAGGGAGCTGGCCAAAATCATTCCTTGCTGGGATGCAGGAGCCTCCCGGCTGACTTACTAGGCAACAGGCAGGAATTTTCTCAACAATCACTGCTACCTTTCTCCAAATACCTGCCTGGCGTGGGCCTTTCCAAAGCTGTGTTGGCTGGAATGTCTCCTGCCGTTTTCCCAGCTGCTTGGGGCACATACTGCATGGAGCCAGGCCCGGGTGCTCCAGAGCAGAAGGCCTTACTCAGACTCATCTATCCTGTGCACTTGGATTGATCCGAGTTCTCTACCTCCGTAGCTGCTGCCAGTGGTGCTGCTACTGCTCCAGTGAACCAGAGTAGCTAGAAAGCCCAGATTCCAGCCCACGCCCTGGCCCAGAGAACTGAACACCAGCTACCCTTGGTGAAGGGCTCCCATCCTTCACCTAAGCTATGAGCACCACAGCCACTCGAATATCTGATCTGCACAGCAGCATTGCATAATGGGTGTGGCCTACACATGTTCACAGATGAGGAAACTGAGGCCCAAACAGGTTCGTCAACTTGCTTAGGGTCACATGAGGTTGTGACGTGAGTGCTGGCCTGCCACCTCCCTAGCCCACACTCTTTCCTCTGTGCAGCTCCATAAATGCTACTTGTTCCCCTCTGTCCCTGCAGGAGGACGGTGCCATTCAGAAGGGCGTGGGTTGGCAGCCTCCCCAAGCAGAGGGATCCCCTTTGGGTCAGAATCATAAATAATCCTGCCACTGTGATGTGTCTGGGAAAGAGGCCAACATGGATTATGTCCCCTGTCTTTTTCTAGCAACTTCCCTCCACACTGCCCTCTCTGCCTGGGCAACACCAAGAGCGCTTATATTCCTATCCAGGCGGAGTGCCCACCAAGGCAGCTGCCTTCCCGGCAAGCTTTGGGGACACCTTAACCCCTTCCTGGCCTTGGACAACCAGTTGGCTGCAGCCCAAAAGGAAAGAACTGGTCTCCAGGCTTTTACACATCTGCCAGTGCTTCCTGGGGAGGCAATGGCCCCCACTGTGGACAGCTGAGACCCTGAAGCAGCTATGACACCTGTAGCTAAAAGAAAATAGCCTCAGCCCTGGAGGGAAGAGGCTCCTACAAGCTCCAGCAGGGATGGTCCAACCGCAGCTTCCTCCCTTTGTGGTGCTGGGGGTGATTCTGATGACCACCTTCCCTGTTGCACAGATGAAGAAGCTAAGTCTTGGGGTCTGCCCAGAACCACATCGATGACACGCAGACCCAAGACCGGAGTTGGGGTCACAGTGCCTCCAAGAGTTTCTACATTTGGCCATGACACAATGTCTATTAGCCAAATGGCCTTGAGCCAGGGACTTCCTCTCTGCTCTTTAATTTTCCTGCCTAACACAATCAAACAGAAGTAGGATCTGGGCAAATCCAAACCCTACCAAGGTGTCCAGCAGTGCTGGCTGTGCCCTACAAATGAGCAAGACTCCCAGAACCAGATGCCCGGTGTTGGGTCAGATGAAGGCTGGATGGCTGGGGATTCTCCCATGATGCTTTTCTCTCATGCCCCCTCTTCCTACTGACCTCCAGTAGTATCCCAAGGAGGATGGCCTGAGGTTCAGTTAAGGTTTCCCAGGGCTTGCCTTGATTCCTGGTATCCCATTCCCTGCAATGCAGACTGGAGCCTTTTTCTTTGGCTCTTTCTATTCCTTGTTTCTGCAATACTGAGTGCTCGGATTATGCATGTGCACCATCACACCCAGCTACTGTGGCTGTTTCTTCTGTGTTGTTGGTTAGATGCATCCCACCTTAACTGAGGACCTAGGAGGTCCTTGCAGGCAAATAAACTAGTGTTAGCCTTGACACCTTCTCTTTCCTGGTCCTGTTTCTCCCCATATGGAGTTCCCACTAGCCACAAGGGGCTCTTTCTTCTTTCTTTCTATTATTATTATTATTATTATTATTATTATTATTATTATTAACTGGGGATGGAATCTAGGACCTTTGTCCTGAGCTCTATCTTTAGCCCTTTTAATTTTTTTTTTAATGTTAAGACAGGGTATAAGTCATTCAATTGTGCAGGCTGGGATAGAGGTTGGAATCCTCCTGCCTCAGCCTCCTGAGTGTTAGGATTATAGGTATGTGCCACCATAACTACCTCTTAGAGAAAAATTATTATTTTTTTAAGTTTTAATCCTCACCAGCACTAACCACATTTCCACAGGCCCAGTGGCAGCTGTGATGGGCAGTGAAGATGGAGACTTTGCCAGGCTGGCACACAGCACTGGGAGCTGGGGTTGCCATTTCAGGAGCCTTGGGCCAGAGGGGATTTCTTTTTTCTGGCACCAGGATTGAACTCAGGATTGAGTGCTTGCCGGGCAAGCACTTATTCTACTGAGCCATCTCCCTGGGGGTCATTTCTGACTGGGCAGCAGGATGAAAGAGGAGTAAGAGCTTCATTCTCCCAGGTTTGTCCCAGATGTCAGGGGTGCACGTGGAAGCAGGAGAGACCCAGGGTTTCCTTAGGATCCCCCAGAAGGTATCCAAAGATGAGGCTGGGTCCAGCCATGGAGAGGGGACAGGGCAAAGCTGAGGCACAGGGGTCCCACCCCCCACTGTCGTCTCCAGCTTTGGCCTTCTCCTGGGTTGCAAAGGTAGAACAATGGCTCCTTACCTGAGCTGAAGCAGTGTCCACTCTGGATGGCTGCTTCTGTACCGGGGTGCACCCAGCTGGTTGACTTTTCCTCATCACTAAGAAGGACCAATAAGAAAGGGTCAGCCCCGGAGCCTTGGGACCCCAAGTGCACACCACCCACTGCTCTGCCCGGAGACGTGAGATGAGAGCCCCACTCTGCCATCTGCTCACTCACATTTGCCCAGGGTCTTCAGAGCAGCCTCTGAGGGTTCAGAGGTAAACAGTGCCTTATCCCCAGCCTCCAAGAGCTAACAGCCACCCCTCTGCATCCCAGGAAAGAGCATAAAGGGAACACATACACAGGATCCCTTGCAACACGAGGGGCAGGTGATGCTGTGACAGAGAAGGGCTGCTCCTAGGGAGGAGGTGAGGGGAAGGCGAAGGCTTCCCTGAGGGGGGCCAGGGTGGGGGACAGGGGTGGACTCCCAGCTGGTGGCTTCTAGAAAGGATGGAAGTGAAGCCAGAGTGGTGGGGCATGTGCAAGGCTGCTGCGTCCCATGCCTCACATTAGCAACTGTACAGATTGTGAATCTGACTTGCATGGTTCTCATAACCAGTAAGTGACTAAACTAGGATTCAGGCCTAGACCCGCCTCCTCCCCCACCAGCCCCAAGCTCCTCCTAACCTCAACCCAGCAAGAGGAGCTCTCCAGAAGCACAGATCCCTGGGGCTCTCTGGCTGAGGGCACAGGAGCTCGCTGCCATTTCTCCACCCCCACTATCCAGATGACACAGATTTTCCCAGAGCCAGCTGTGACCTAGTATGTAGTATGACCGACTTGGCCAGTTCAGGTGTGTGAAGCAGAAGACGCCCAGGTCCCCGCTCTGGGCATCTAGCCTTCAGGGTGGGGCCTGAGGGCCAGGACAAGACTCCATGCAGTGTCTTTAGGACACACAATGAACTCCTAAGAAAGGCCCCACTAAGGTTCTACTGAAGTAAGTTATATGATAAGCTGTATACACAATGTACAATTTAGTAAGCTTTGACATATATATGAAATTATCCACAAAATCAACATAATGAACCCCAAGACTTTCTCTGTGCCCTTTTGTAATTCCTCTCTCCACCCTCCCCAACAACATGGACCCGCATTCTGTAATTTAGTGTGTATCTTCTAGAGCTTCAAGAGTTGTATATAAATGCAATCATGCAAGATAGACTTGTCTCTTCCTTCCAGCTTGCTCGTCCCCCCTTTCTCCTTTTCTCCTTCTCTCATGCTCTCCTCTTCCCCTCTTTCCTTTCAGGCTGTAGTATGTGTTATTGGTTCATTAGTAGCAGTTAGTTTCCACTGTAGCATTTACCAGCATGTTTGCCCATTCATCTGTGGATGGACATACGGGTTGTTTGCAGTTTGGGGCCATTATAAATAATCCTGCTACGAGCAGTCATGTACACTGTGTGAACAAACACTTTTTTCTCTTGACTGTACTAATTTTTTGCTGAGGTTGACACATGCTGCAGAAAGAGGTTCCCCAGCTGACCCAGCCCTCTGATGAGCAGAGAACAGACGGTGTCTTCGGTTTAGTACCTCCTGCACCCAAAACCAGTGAGGAAGACCTCTAACATACTGGGCCTCCACCCTGTAGGCTTCTGGCTGTGCTGCTTTGGACCTGAGAGGCCATGGAGAGGAAGCCGATGAAGGGGCAGAATGTAGAAAAATTCAGTGAGAGTCCTCAGTCCCTGACACCTCCTCCTCAGCTACCCCACACTTGTTGGCTTCAGACTCTTCCCTCCTCTTGGGCATGCTCAAACTTCCTGTCGAGCTCCACCCTGCCTGGATATGGAGGATAACCCCATCACACCCTAGGCTTCCCACCACAACCACAGCTTCCTCTCCCTGTTGTTCACAGCCACCTCCTCCCTCCTCCCCCCCCCCCCCCCCCTCTCCCCCCCAGGGATTGATCTCTCTCCTTCTCTCTCTCTCTCTCTCTCTCTCTCCCTCCCCCCCCCCCCCCATCATCTCTTGGCCCAAAGCAACTCAACCACAGGCTGCCTGCACCCTGGCACAGGGTTGACAGGATCTACAATTCCACAGGCTGCACACTCAGCTGGGAAACACCTAATGTGTTCAGGACCTTGGGGGATCCTGGTCAGTCAGCACTTGCAGAAAGTCCCAGGTCTTTCTTATCAGCCTCAAGGGGAGTTTGTCTGCCCTATCCACCTTTCCCCATCACCAGAGGTTGAAACTATACATTCAATGGCCCTATTCCAAACATACCCACATTCTCACCTATCCTTAAGTTTTTATCTCTACAATGGAGAAGAGGTAGCTTTTCCCTGTCTTGTTTTGTTTTGTTGTTGAGACAGGGTCTCCCATGTAGTTCAGGCTTGCCTTGAACTTGCAGCAATCCTGCCTTGGCCTCCTGAGCACTGAGATTACAGGCATGTGTCACCATGCCCAGCTCTCTCCTATCTTTTTTTATATGTTTGGTTTTTGCAGTGTTGGGAATTGAGTCCAAGACCTTGAGCATGCTAGGCAAGCACTCTACCACTGAGCTATACCCCAAACTCTTGTTTTGAGACAGGGTCCTGCTAAGGTGCCTAGGTTAGCCTCAAACTGAGGATTATCCTGCCTCAGCTCCCCATGTAGGAAGGCCAGTTTCTCTTCTGTCTTTTCTAGAACCTCATCCTACCAAGCATCCCAGACTGATCGTGAGCATCTCTCCTTATCTGGTGTCTCATGTCCCCTACCTGCCCATCCACTTCTGCCATAGCTGGGCACCTTGCCTCTTTCGAGATGCCTGCTCCCCCCACAGCTTCACCTGCTTCCTGACTCACCATCACCACTCCATTCCATTCTGTACCGAGTTCCCTGGAAACCACTTTCCATTAGAGACCCCTGCCCACAAAGCCCCCCGAAATCCAGCAGGCGCTGCCCCATCTTTGGCCATCTGGCTTTTCAGCTGCATTCTGCGTTGTTGACCATCCTGCCTGCTCTGTTTCCAGAATTCCTCTTCCTTGCCTTCTGGGATGGCACTTCACCTAGTCCTGGCACTGCTCATCCATGTAAGCCTGGGTCTCAGGCCCTCCCTGGCCTTTCTTCCTTTCTGCTTCCCTTACATTCTAGCACTGCCTGGCTCACCCACTACTCCCTATCTTCTGGGAGGCCCTAACTCTACATGGTGACTCCAGCCTCTCCCTCTGGCCCAGCCCCTCTCAGACCAAGCCCTCTCTTGTTTGTCTACTCAGTCTGCTAGACGTCACCCCCACCTGTTCCATGGGACCTCACACTCAGCGTGTCTTTGCTGAACCTGGATGACTGTATTTCCCAGACCAGCTTCTCTTCTTGTATCCTGCATCTCACGCTCAAGAAGAAAGGCTGATTTACTTGTGTTCTCCCTATCTTCAGGCGCAGATGCACACTTGCAGGCCCATTCCCAAAGATCTCCTCTCCCTCTTTGCCTCCCTCTTCTCTCTGCTTTAATTCAGACCCTGTCAGCTGCCTCTAGGCTTTCAACTTTTACAACTGCCTCCTACACTTTTGTACCTCAATTTTTCCCCTTGGCTCCTACTGCCGCAGCTTCTGCCAGAGGGATGTTCAGAGCGCAGATCTGCGTCAAGCCCTTGCTTAAAGGCTTCTTTAGCTTTCCACCTTTGGCTTTCCACCTATTGCTTGTAGGGTCAAGGCCAAACCCCTTAGCCTGACGCAAGCCACCCTCTTCTACTCTTCAGCCTCATCCCCTGCAGTGCCCTGGTTGCCTCCATGCTACCTCTCCCCAGCCTGCTGAGAGCCACAGACGCTATGCCGCACCCCAAGTGCTACCCTCTCTCTGCTAGCCTGGCTGCCAGGGCCCCTTTCATTCCGGTCCCTCCAGGGGCATTGGCCCAACAGGCTGAGGGCTTTCTCTCCAAAGTCCCTGAGACACCCTGCCGAGCATTAGAATTTTCCTTCTCCTGTCCCTATGGCATCATCAAATACACACCTCTAGAACACACCAAATTGTTAACAAAATCTTTGTGTTTTCTCCCTAATACTTTAAAGGAAAACCTGTGGCTTATGGATTTCTATCTCCCTTGTCCAGCACTGCAGCAGAGTGACTGCTCAATGTGTGTTTGTAGAATGAAAAAAACTGGGAAGCAAAAAGGAAACTGGAAAGAGAGAAGAGAGGCATTAACTACTTCCTAGGAATAGCTGAGGAGCTTGTGGAAATCTCAGGATTTCCTGGCCCTGGATCCTGTGAATAGAGATCTCCTGAGGCAGTATTCAGGAATCACCCTTTACTAAATTCCTTGACTGACTCTTTATCTTTATTTGTTTATTTTTGAGGTGAGGTTTTGCAATTGTCCAGGTTGACTTCAACTCCTGGCTCCTGTGACTGTCCTGAAACTCCAAAGTATCTGGGACTACAGATGCATCCACCTGGGCATGGGCTGGATGCTACTATGGACTATGAAGTCTCACGCCACTGTAGAAGGGAACTCAAGGTTTTTTGTTTTTTGGGTTTTTGTGTGTTTTGTTTTGTTGTTGTCTTTTTGAGACAGGATTTTACTATGCAATTCAGGCTGGCCTTGAGCTCACTTTGCAGCCCAGACTGGCCTCCAACTCGCAATGATCTTCCTGCCTCAGCCTCCTGAGTGCTGGAATTACAAGTGTGAGCCAACATGCCTGGCTAGGAAACCCAGTTTTAGTCCTGGAAAAGTTCTGCTATTTAAGAGCCTGACCCAGGGTCAAGAAGTTTAGCAGAGTTAATTTCTAAGGTTATTACAACAACAGGAAGGTAATGACAGCATCAATTAGGATAATGGCAGTGATAATTACAGAAGAAAGTCCTTAAGCAAGCTGGGGAACAGACAGACACCAAAGAGGAGCCACTGCCTGCCACCTGCCTGGAACTGGACAGTAGGGCAGCCACTGTGAATGAACACACATGTGAGGCTTTGCTCCTGCACCAGAGGACATGTAGCCTCATCCTACACAGTGCTTCAATTCCTCTGGACCTCAAGTCCCCTCTGGACAACACCGGGTAGCTCCTGGGTCCCTGCTGGTGCTGATGTTCTGTGCATGGCTCTCCTGAGGCAGAGGAGGCCTGCCTAGTGCAGATCACAGTCCAGAATGCTGTGCTTCTAGACTTGCTATATCACTGGGAGGTTTCTGTCCTGGCAACCAGTGCCTACAAGAGAAGCCAACAGAGGGCCGCACAGGGCTACTTTTTATAATGAAATTATGCCACAGCCATTTTAGTTTATGAAATTAATATAACAGCACTAATAAATTACTAAGAGCAGTGAAGGCTCTCTCTCCTGAAGAATGCCACCCAGGCTGCAGGCTTCCAGCTTCTCCTGTCTCTTGACCAAGGGCCCAGGAAGCAGCAGGAAGGGAGAGGGGCGGCTGTCCGGGGCCAGTCCCGGGCTGAGGGAGCACAGGGACCAGGCGGCTGAGGCACTGTGAGCCAGTGCATGGTCACTCTCAGCCGGTCCCTGTAGAAGAGCTGGGAGGGGAAGGCAGAAGGGACGGGCTTCCGCCCCCTCAGCAGCAGGAGCAGACAGAACTCAAGGCTGGACACCAGTCTTCTTCCTGGTCCCCCGGGGGGCCTCCTCTGCGGTCAGTGAAAAGGGGGAAAGGCCAGTACCTGCCCTGCCCTACCCTGCCCTGCGTCCCAGGCTTGGAACAGGGAGCCTTCGCTGGACTTTGCCCCATTGCGGGAAAGGCGGGCGCCGCATTCAAACAGGAGGGCGATAAACTTATTAGTCATGCGCTGTCCAGCGCCCCTTCCCTCCACTGCCAGGCGCCCCACCACCTTTCCAATGACACAACTTTAAAGAAAAAAATGGGGGAAGAGAGAGAAGAGAGCTACTCACTTGATGAAGAAGACTCTCCCTCCGCGGTCCACTCCGTAGGTCCACCGGCCGGGCAGGTCCAGCCAGTCAATCTCCTCGGCCATCTCCGCGGCCCAGCGACCCCGCGCGCTCGCGGCGCCCCCACGCCGGGCGCCAGGCTGGCGCCCCCACTTTCCTCCGCCCTAGAGACGCGCTGCGGGAGGCGGTACAAGGCGGGTCCGCCCGGCTCGCGCGTCCCTCCGGGTCCCCGATGGTGTCCGTGGCCTCCCGCTGAAGGCGAGCTGGCCTGGAGCCGGTGGCGGGGGCCAGACGAGCGCTTAACCCTGGCCCGGCCGGGCACAGCTCCGACACCTCCTGCCCCCTCCTGCCTCCTCCGGAGCCGCTCTTCGGGCCGCTCCCGAACTTTAATGACTGGCAATTAGCTCGGGGAGTAATTACGCGCCGGGCTGCCAGCGGGCAGCGGCGCGGCGCGCGGCCGTCGGAGCAGGAGGAGCCCTCCCCGGAGCCAGGTCGCCGCGCGCCACTGTCGCCTGTGCGCGCCGCACGGATCCCACACTCGCGCGGTGGGGCGGGGCCGGACCTGACCTGGGAAGGTAACTCGCCCCGGGAGCCCGTGAGTCACTGGCCGAGGGGCACGGTCGGTCGGCCTCCCAGCCGAAAGCGGGAAGCGGGAGGCTGTGCAGGCACAAAGGTCAGATGCTCAGGAGGGTGGCCTGGTCGGGAGCAGCTTCCAGCTAAGATGCCAAGCTAAGAAGTCAAGCTAGTCCTTGCCTTTCCTTCCTAGTACCTCCTCCAAGAAACCTGCCAGGACTACCTAGCATCACAGCGAAAGCCTAGAAACAACTCAGAAACTAATAATTAAATCTCTCCATCCGGTTTCCTCTAACTCACACCGAATATGGAAAGGTAAAAAGGGGAAGGAGAGAGAGAGGAGGAGGGAGGGAGGGAGGGAGGGAGGGAGGGAGGGAGAGAGAGAGAGAGAGAGAGAGAGAGAGAGAGAGAGAGAGAGAGAGAATGTGCTCTGTGTACAGAATGCAGGCTGCAAGCACTGCATGAAAATGGTATTAACTGGGGCCCACGGTTCTGCTACCTCAGAGACTGAATCAAAGTTGGGTCCACCCAGCTTGCTCAGGACCTGCTCCTGGGATCCAAAGAAGGGCTCATGCTCCAATCTTTGTGCCAGGCTGCAGGAATAGTTAACTATGGAGAGACACCTGTCTTTTAAGGAAGTGAAGTGCTCCCTGACAGCTGTGGAGCACCTGTTGAGTGAGGGTGCGTTTTGTGAGCATTCTTGGGGATTCTCCCCTGACCACTTAGGTGTGTCCACCGTGTGCCACCTCCTCCAGGAAGCGATTCTTGCCTCCACCCCAGAGGTATGGGTCTATCCTTATGCATCTTGGTGCTTTATGCACATGTGATGATTTACTCATCTGCCTCCTTCCCTGGGCTGTGTGACCTTCCACCTCATTCATTGTTATATTTCCAACCCCTGCTTGGGTACCCAATGAACGTTAGATGGCTGCCTGATATGGACCTACCTGGGAACCACTATTAATGCCAACCAAAAGATTAGCTTCTGGACCTTATTCAGAGGCATGCTGAACCGAGCTGTCAGCGACAGCAGTGGTGAGGGGAGAAACAGCCAAGAAGTTTCCTCGGGTATCTCCGATGCTTAACCTCGAAAGTTTGATGTCTCTACAGCAGACAGATGGTAAGCCTGGAAGACACCTCAGAGGATATCTAGTCCGATCCTCTTGTTTTAAATATGGGAAACTGGGGTGTGGAGATGGGGAGGGGTTAGCCAAGATCACTGCGCAAGGTGGTGGCCACAAAGACCTGCCCACAAGTGTCTTGAACCAGTGTGTTCCGTTATATCCTTCTGCCTCCAACATCAGAAATGAACTCTGCCAACTTGCAGGCTGATTCCTAGCTTCCAGGTGTAAACTGGCTCAAATCTGCACAGAAGAGATACTGGAATCCAGAAAACCCACCTCCATCCTCCCTGCTCAGCTCTTACAAATTCCTAGTAGAGAAAGCTGCATTTGATGGTAAGATGAACCACACCTGGGAGTACAGATGAGGTCCCTGGTGCCCTTTAGTTCCTGAATTGGGGAAGTTCAGAGGGTCTGGGGTGCCAACTCCCTACCTCTCCAGTCCCCAGGTTTGTGAAACAGCTCCAAGAGTCATCCCACTGATAAAGCACAGCACCTGCCCGGCCCCTGCACTCTCCAAGGATCTAAGCCACCAGAACTGCTGCCAAGAGGCCTCAAGGGAAAATACAGCAACCCGTGCTCTCCCAGCCCAACCTGAGCAACCAGTATGGGCGGCTGCTTGGGCTCGATGTGGGTGGAAACTGGACAAAACGATACATATCTGGAAACATGTGTGGCTCCACCTCTCCTCAGAGGGCAGAGGCTCCTGGGGACCTCCTCACAAGGGTGTGGCCACATCTAGAATGGGTTCCTAGGAGCATTAACCTAGACAACAAGAGACCAGAGGTTGATATTTTGCATTTCTTTATTCATTTGGAATAAGACATCAAGTTTGAAAATCTTTTTCCAATCAGGCTGTATTATCACTAGAAACTGTACATTCTAGCTCTTATTTATCAATCATGATTAGCAGTGACATAGCCAGTGATGACATTTTAGCAAAAGAATTACAGATATGCAGAAAAAGAATTTTAGAAAAGCAATAAAACAGCTCTTGGGCCAACAATTGCCTGAGCCAGGAGGGAGAGTTGGTATGTCAAATGAAAACCCTACATGGCCAGGCATGGGGACTCACATCTATAATCTCACTGCTTGGGAGGCTGAGTCAGAAAGACTGCCAGGAGTTTGAGGCCAGTGTGGACTGCATGGTGAGTTCAAGGCCAGTGTGGACTACATAGTGAGACCCTCCCTCTCCCAAAAGGCTCCCTCCCAAAAAGAAAAGTATATTCTTGGCAATTGAGAATGAAATTGAGGGGCCAGGGAGATAGCTCAGTAGAATAAATTTTTGTTGGGCAAGGCAAAGGGCCTGAGTTCAATACCTGGTTCTGCAAAAAAAGAAAAAGAGAGAAAGAAAGAAAACAAATTGAATTGTTTGTTTTTCTCCTGCAGCAAATTTTATTTTACCTTTTTAAAGGACAATAAAATTTGTGGATGAAGTATTATCAGGAATATTAAGAAATATTTCAGGGCACAGGAATTGCATGCAATAATCCCAACACTCGGCTGAGGCAGGAGTTCAAGGCCATCTGGGGTACATAGTGAATCAGGGGTTGAGAGATAGCTCAGTGGCATAAACCCTGCCTGGCAAGTATATGGTCCTGAGTTCGATCCCCAGTACAAAACAAAACAAAACAAAACAAAACAAAACAAAACAGTGTATTCAAAGTCAGCCTAAAGTGAGATCCTGCCTCAAAAAACAAACCACAACAACAAAATAATAATACTAATAGTAATTCTGGTTGTCTCAGATTTGAAGTCTCAGATTTGTCACTTAAATATTGTAATGTCTTTTGTTTGGTTCCTGTGATTGAGTCTTTGCAAACATAATTAGGTAAAGGATTTTTTTTCATACTGAGGATAGAATCCCATCGCTTAGCTACACCCCCAGCCTGCCCTTCTCTCTCTTTCATTTGAAGATGCCAAGTAAGATCCTCACGTGGGGAGACCTGCCCTAAAAATGAAACCAACACAGGAAAAATGCAGCCAGAAGATGAAGGGAGGATGAGTCCTCCTTATAGTCCATCAGCCCTGAGGCCCAGCTTGGCAGTGGAGGCTCAGCCTCTGGGATTTCCAGATACAGCTGACAATAAATACCCTTACTTGCTTTCGTAGGTTTGAGTTGAGTTTCTGCCCCTAACAATTGAAAAAGTCCTGATCAATGCAAAGGTCACACATACACAAACAAAACACACACCTGCTCTTTTGTATACTGGGAAAGCTGAGGAGAGAATCATATGTATTTCTAGTGACTCATGAATGGGAGCCCTTCTCTTTCAAGAAAACCACGATTTTAGATCAAGAAAGGATCTTGATCCCTTGTTGACATTCCACATTTTTCTCATGGAGGACATTGGAGAACCTACCGGAAGTACCCAGAGTTGTCAAAATGCCACAGTAGAGCTGGGACCAGATTCACTCTATTTGGAGAACTTTGCACCATCATTTAAACATACCTGGCCAAGAGATTCACAGACTCAAGAAGACTATAATATATTCCTTGCTTTATAAAAGAATAACCACATCAGTGATTTTTATTGAGTGTTGCTGTTTAATAGTTATGCTTACTGGCAGGCTGGGCCACCAGCCCCTGCTGATTTTCTTCAGGAAGCAAGAAGCAAAGGAAAAGAAGACAACAGCCACCTCTGCTGGCTTCAGAGATATGGTTGTGGAAATGTTCAGGGGCCCAGGCCGACTCATTGCTGAATTAAAGTTGGTCTTCTGAAAGGAGTTGAAAGAGGAAAGTTTTATTATAAAAACTATGGCTCTAGTGCTGGCATCCAGAGGATTATGGAATTCTGAGTTTTCCCTACAGTCAGCTGAATTAATTACATTTGTTCTACAGATATTTATCGAGTTCTTTTAAATTTAGGCACGGTCTTAAATGGGACTACAGCCCCTGCTCTAGTGATGTCTTTAGAGAAAAAGGGATAGGGTAAAAGGAGTGCAAGGAGAGCAGGGACGCTGCTGTCTGATTCTGTACGTATTTTATATGAGGTGGTCAGGCAAGGCCTCAGCAAGGATGCCATTTGAACAAAGGCTGGAAGGAAGGGAGAGAGCAGACCATGTGGATACTGGGCAAGCTGGTTCTAGGCAGTGAACAGCGCGTGCAAAGGGCTGGAGGCAGAAGCATCCTTGGTAAACAGCAAGAAGGCCAGTGTAGCTGCAGGAAATAAGAAAGGAGGAAACTAAGAGGTAAGGATGGAGGGACAGGAAGCCAGCTCATGCCGGCCACTATAAGGGCTTTCAATTTTACTCCAAATGAATGAGGAGTGTAGAAATATGACTGTGTATGTATGTGGTACTAGGGATTAAGCCCAGGGCCTTCACACTAAGCTGCTACATCCTCAGGCTTTTTTTTTTTTTTTAATTTCATTTTATTTTTCAGACACCATCCCCCTAAATTGCCCAGGCTGGCATCAAACTTGCAATCCTCCCTGCCTCAGTATCCCACAGCACTGGGATTACAGGCATGTGCTACCATATCTGACTCATGCCAATTTTTTTAGGGTTTTTATTTGGAATAGAGCAGAAGCAAGTTTCAGCAGGAGCTTATTCCAATAATCCACACAAACACGAGGATGGTTTGATCCAGGATTTGGGGGCAAAGGCTGTGAGAAATGGTCAGATTCAGGGCTTATAGGGTTAGCTGACAGACTGTCACCCGGCTGTCAGCGGAGAAGGGTCAGAGTGAGCACAAG